TGTTTGCAAATGTATAGTTATTATACTGTAGAAGTATTTAAACACAAGAATGATTCAAAACAAGCAAGTGTTCATGCAGCCCTGTGCCTCGTCCCCAGGGGGTTGCAGTTCCCTGACCCATCCATGATCTTGGGGTGAAGCCGCTCAGGGGGACACAGGCACAGATCATCTTGGTAGGGATGGGATTTATCAGGGCCAGTCTAAGCACCAGAGAAAGCTCAAAATGTAACTCCTCCCTAAGAGGCACTTATCTTGGAGATCTGATGAAAATACAGGACATCTTGTCCTGTACCACAAGGGGACATAGTACAAATTAGAATAACTCCATTAACCTCTGGTATGCAGGGCCATTTTTGTTTAATTAATCCAGATACTGTCCTAGTCCTCTTAACTGTGTAAGTTTTTAATCTAATCTTCACTGAAGTAATAAATATTTATTTTAAGTGGTTTATTTTATTATCTAGTAGATTAATATTTAAACAGAGAGTTTATTGCCTTTGGAAGAAAAAAAAAACAGGGGAAAATAGTTCCTGATATAAAGTTTGAAATCTCTAAACAGCAATTAAAAGCATTTTCCTAGCTGGTATACAGCTATCTAAGAAATTGCAGCCAATTAATACTGTTACTATTCCCAACTGACTAGCAGCTCACTACATAAAATAACCAAGATGTAATAGAAAAAGAACTAATTATCATCATGTCTGATGGAAAACATTTTTCACATATTGTGAACTGTGCATTCTTATAACTGATAATTTTCAGAAGAAATGCTTTGGCACAAATAAAGTTCTTTCCAAGCTGTGGCTGCAGGAGAGAGATATTACTCAGAAGCCTATCTTGAAAATTATCATTTTGTATTCCACACAATTCCACAAAATTCCAGAAAAATACTTGTCTCAGCCAGACAGAGCTTCTTTCCTCCAAAAAAAGATTTCCTATTACTTAGGAAATACGATGAATTTTGGTCTGACAATTTTGTGATATACCCTATAAGGTATGCAATAATTCATTTAAAAGAAAACTTGAAGCCATGCTGCAAGTTATAGGCACATCTTACAAATGTGATTCTTGCATTTTCTTCTTTGCCTGTTTTGGAGGGAGGGCAGATTGTTAGCTGTGTCTCTTAAAACAAATTTAATTTTTTTCTGAAAGCTAGCTTTTCTCCACATTTGGTCTTTTCCATCTGAACAGGAAAGAACAATACAAGAAAGAAGACAACTGTCAACTTGTTCTACTAAAACTGCACGTGCTCATTGTACATTAATATTTCAAAAATATTAATTCTTATTGAAAAAAGGTCTGATCAGACCCTGCTGGTTTTGGTCGTAACTATTTTCTTCCCCAGACTCCGTATGGTAAGTAGTGTCAGTCATCTGTATTTCCATGTTTTTAAAAGCAGCTATCACAAATGAGGACTGTACTCAGATCATGTTACAAACATCAGCTGTATCAGACTGGAGACCTGGATGTGAAAACTGTGGCTAGATCAAAAAAGATAAACTGCCTGTTCTTTGGTGAGGTGAAAAAACATCTGAGGCTATGAAGAAAGGAAGAAACAAGGAATTCCAGATCTAAACTGCAATATTGCAATATTTGGACAAACATAAAAAAATGGACAAGCTCAGATAAATATTTAAGGAATAATATTTTAGAAAAGTAACAGCACATAAAACCAGGAAAGAAGGAAGAAGTCTGTGACCTCCAGCTATGTTACGTGGCAAAACTTACAGTGAAGACACGGACAACTTATTTGAAACTTGGTATATGGAGATTTATATGTCCAAGATGGTTGTATTTGTGAACGATTTACTATGTGGCCATTAAGCAATTGTTCAGCATATCTTGGATAAACACTGATTTATGACAACACATAAATCCTAGATATGTTCAACTGGCAAAGGTACATACCTTGCTTTCCAAAAATACTTGTACAATATCCAGAAAAATCCTTGTTAGTGAAATTAAAAGACTGATTATATGTTTTAGGCTCCTGTGACTATTTATTCTCCATTCTCTGAGGATGTCAAGAACTCAACATGACACAAACATTTTCCATCCTCAAAAAACGGCCCTGTGTTGGATGAAAAGTCTTAAACAACACCGGGGTCAGCCAGCTGAGCATCGATGCTGTACTGGGACACTTCTTGTCCTGTGAATGCTCTGTCTGATTCAGTTTCAGCACAACTGTGTGATGGAAGAGGTGCAGAGTCACATGTAAAAGCCAAGAATAGGGAAGATTGACACTGTTATTCTAGCCAACAGAATTATGTAGTTATTGAAGACAGTGTGAACTCCACAAGTAACTGCCCATGACAATTATGTAGCTTCCATTATAATTGCATTGTAATGGCAATATGGTATGTTAAGAGCACTCTAGCAAAACCTTAACTACACAAAATATGAAAATGTGTGGACTTTTCTTACCACTAACAAACTGCAAGATAAATTATCATAACATTATTGTAGAAGGCAGTTCTTCAGCTCAAGAATTTCAGTAACTATTTATCTTCACATTCCTAAAACAGTATTGTGGGTCTCCAGGTTAGAAATGTAAATAAAAGCCCTAACAGGTTTTTAAAAAAATAATAATTATATTCCATTAGTAACTTTTTTTGCCTGTTAAAAGGCAAGTAAAAGCTTATGTAATACAACAGTGACAACTGAAAACTGAAGTTTTAATATGGAGGCAGGGTTTTATCAACTTTGGAGCATTTTTCTGTTACTGTTCTGAGTAGGTGACAATTATCAGTGCTGCCCTTGTGAAGGTTACTATGCTTAGCAGTGGCTAGAAGTGAAAGAGAAATAATTTTCTTAGTGATCAAACCCTTATCTGGCACAACAGACTCAGACAAATGAAGGTGACAGTCACAGTAATTGCTGCATCAGTTAATATGCATTAGGATAAACATAAATAAAAAAATCCATTTCTATTCATACTTCCCCCATGTCTGGGGATAGGTGGGCATCTTTACTACTGGCTTTAGTACAGGCCTTTCAACAGAATTTTTACGTACATCATGGAAGAAGCAGCAATTTGCACAAAGTAAGAAGCAATTTGTACAAAGTGAACTCCAACATAATACACTTATTGACTGTTAACTGATCCTAATAAAATAAATCTTTGTAACTCTACATTTCCAATTATTTAATATCCACACTCCACAATCAAAGATTAAAAGTGCATACTAATGATGTTCCTGAAATGCTCTGCTTACCAACACACCCTGAAACTCTTGGAACAATTAAAACGCCTGCATGGAACTCACTAGACTAACATTGAGCAAGACATATTTCAAAATTCTAGTGAAGTAGAATAAGAGAGACACAGCCAACAGGCTGGAGCTTGACGGGAAGACAAGAACCCTGTCAGAGCCAGCACCCTCTGGGAGAAGGAGAGCAGCTCAGCCAGAATTTATCAGTCCTCACACAAAAGGAAAGGAAGACTACACAGAAAGCAAATCAGAAAATGTCAGACCTGCTGGGGAGTAGAGCCGAAAAGTCTGCAATGATGTAAAAGAAATGCCAAACAACAGTGAGAATGTTAATGAAACTAACACAGTATTTAATAACCCCCCCTGCCAGCTTACCAACACAAACATGAACAAGGAAGAAGAGTGAAAAAAATATTCTGGTTCATATATGTCAATTCTCCTTCCAGCCACAAAAAGCCCCTTTCTTATGTGCTGCAATTTTAAGGGAAGTTAATAGTTAATATTACTATTAATGTCAACCCAGATGTCCCAATTTCTTCAGTTTTTATTCTCACTGGTCTAGTCTCAAACTAACTTGCACCTATGCTTCCTCTTGCAGGGCACAATAACTGAGCCATCTTTTTGCTCAAGTATCAGAAGACTCTGTAGTCTGAACCTGATGTCTATTCAGGATACAGACATTTAGTGGACATAACCCTGGCTGGTGACAGGTGCTAGGAGCAGACTTCTACTGAAATTTCCCTGGAGATGAGCACCTGGTTTTGTTTCTTCTGCTGTATTTGGAAAGATACTACTTGTGGCAGAGGAGGTCTATTTTATTCATTCATATTGCAGCTAATAAATCCAGTCCTTGAAAAATCATTTATTCAAAGTGAGGCATTTAATAGCATTATATCAACTGGCCTTCTCCTTGGATAAAATCCCATATTTCAGATTTTTATACTTTGAGCTGCCTTGAATTCATTGTGTGTCTTCTGTTAGTACCTTGGACAGTGCTGCCTATTCTTTGTGATTTTGTTCTCAGTTAAGTCAACGATTGTTTCCCATATCACTAACTATAAGACACCCTCTTTCTCCAAAATTTGACAGCTCTGAAATTCAACATGGGATCTGAAAGTCATGTGGGGCATATTGCGTTTTGCAAGTGAACAAAGGCTTGTAGTAGCCAAATGATTTCTCTAATCACATTGGTGCAATACCAGTGCCATTGGTATGCCTGGACAAGTGTCACTGATAGGTCTGAACACTGGAATTTTGCAAGCAGTTTTGCCCCCATAAAAGTAAAAGACAAATAAGTACAAACAAAACTACATTCTTTGCTTTCGTTAGAGTTCTGTTTGCTCTACAGTCATCACTAGGAATGAAATGCAGCATCACTTTATTTTGATCATCAGTGTTAGAAGGACTAATTTTGATTATGCTAAGGACATAGAAATGCTGAAAAGAAGTTTTAATCACATCTGTAAGGGACAAAGAACAACTAAACAACTTCAATTCTGACCCAAGAGAGAATTAGTCATTTGACTACTTTAGAGATATAAATGAAATTCCAGTGAATTAAAAGGAAATTTCCATTGATTTCCTTTAACTTTGAGCTGGACCTTTAATTATTAGATATGTAGACAGACTTCATGCTCTCTCTCAGGACTCTCTCTCTCCCTTTTTGTGACATAGAACTAATTTGAAGGCACTAGTCCTTAAGACATGAACTAAGAAATTGATTTTTTCCAAGGAGAATCCAAAAGGAAAAGTTTTCTTCTTATAATTAAGATATAATAAAATACTCACTGATGGATCCTTTGTTGGCTGAATGGAGCAGTATAGCAGTCATTCTCCTCCAGATCTGGTAATGTCTCCTTGTCCAGTTTCATTGGCTTTCTAGGTAACCATCCTCGAAACCTGCTTATTTGTTTCTCGATCCTGCAGCACACGAAAAGTGTGAGCATTTGAGATGTTTTTTCATTACATTTCAGAGCACTTACAAAGAACACATGCTGGCAAACTAGGCCACTCAATATTTGCAACTAGAAAAGATGCAATGTCTTTTGACTTTTTTGAGGCAGACAAAATTATACGTGCTGAACTTGATTATTAATAACCAGCCTTCAGCAGAGAAGCATCTTATTTCATCTCAGCAGAAAAACAATGCTGATGGTGCATGCTGCTATAAATCTCATTAAGCCCAGTAAGATCTTGGCAACCCTCTAAACCTTTATTTCTCAACATTTCAGTTAGTTTAAATTTCAAGCTTAATCAACACATTAGTCTTTGGACAGATAAACATTATAACAGCAGAAAATGTGGCAGAGAGTTTTGGCAGCTAAACCCCAGCAAGTTGCATCCCTTTACTGCTCTCCATACGGATTCTAACCTCACAACTGATGCTACAAAAAATAGGCTACTTTGTTCATATGGTTCAACTGTAGTGTCTTGCAATACTACAACCTCCATGAAACCAGAATACTCAGTGTATAGATTAATAGGTGCCTGTTACAGATTCTTATATTTCGAAGGTTACAGCAAACTAAGATCAAGCTGAAAAAAGGGCAGATTTAACTGCAGGTGCACACATGCAAAGATGCATACTGAAATAAAGGGAAAGGGAAGAATCAGAGATGATTGGAGAAGACAATCCAAATGAAATCAAAATCCAGACTAAAATGTTTTCATGAAAACCGCATCAGAAAGATGATATATGTCTGGCACAACGAGCCCTACTTTCTCAGAAGTTCCTAACACCTTCAAGTCCTAATCAGTGATCTCTGCCTGCAAAAATCATGGACTACCAATTATGGACTATGCACATATTTCAGTCACTGGATGAATCTTTGCAGGAGTGGAGTTAAAGGGCATGAATCAACATCCTCTGAACTTTAAGTCCAGTTCTGGATGAAGTGCAAGGACTGGAAATGTAGTTGTTCCTTTTCTTTTAACAGAAGTCAGCACATTAATTCTAAGACCAGCAAATGCTGTGAGGTCTGCACAGTCCCTCTGAGGAAGGGCAATCCATACAGAAGCAGCTGAGTGTGTGGGAAAGTGACATGAAATTATTGCATACTTTCATTCAAAATACATACAGTATTTCCTGGAATATTCAACCTTCTCCTATCAGGTATTTTTGTCTTGAATAAGAAAGCTAATGCTGATTTTTAAACATGGGCAGATTTCAAAATTGTAATCAAATTATCTCTACTTGTTTTGGTACCATTTATGTATTCCCATTGTGGGAATAGCATGGCAGGGCGGGGCACAAATTTACCATCAAGACTGTTTGGAAGAACTGGAGTGTGTATACAAACATAACATAAGACATATGAAATTAATCATAAACTCTTAATGGGCAGTGTTTGCACTGGCCCAGCAGTTCAGAGCACAGGAGGAGGTAGTTTACAAATGTCTGTGCCCAAGCACAGGTGAGGTGTCAGATCCCAGGGCTGTAAAAGGCCTGACCAACTGTAACTCTCCAGCTACAGCATCCAGACTGACAGCCTTGAGCTAGTCTGTGCAGACACTTATAGGAATGACAAGGGAAAAAGAAGTTCTCTACAGGAGAATTCCCTGTCTCTTGGCCTCCAGTTTTAACCCTGTAAAGGCCAGAAGCTGTGAATTACTGTGTATTCAGCAGGTTTAGTGACTCTGGGTATGGAAAAGGGAAGAGCAATCAGGCAGAAGTATTTTCTAAATATCTTGTTCCATGCTTATTTGTTAATGAAAATTGTTTGAATTCACTAAGCTATTAATACCCTTGCTAATCTGCAATCCTTTCCCATTCACCCTGAAAGTCAATGTGCACATTTGAGATACGCATGCTGAAGGTTTATCACACCATGCCTGCACGCATGAAGGCACAGGGTACTTTCCCCACTTAAAGAAATGTATTATTCATGTCAGCTTCTCACTGCGTGTACCCAGAATTTGACTAGTTTGCCATTCTCAAGGCTCAGATTACTTGGCATGCTCAGTGAGCCTGCTGGCAAACCGTCTGAGAAGGTTGTGAAGCCTTTTTGCAAGGCCCAGAACATACAGTACAGCCACCCCTAGGGAAAAAAAAAAACCTGGTTATCTCCCTGGAAAAGAAAAATGACCAAGTTTTTAAATTGCCTCCAGCTCACTTCAACAGTGACATCAGCCAGAAGCACAGTCTTCGTAGTCTGTAAGAGCATCTCTCAAAAAAAAAAACAAAAACAAACCAAAAGCTGAAAGAATGATGTTGCTGCTAATAAACATAGACACCCAGGGTTAAAAAATATTCTGTTTTTTATCACTTTTTCAAGGCTAATCCATGTCTCACTTTCCATTATGGAGAAGTTTATATACTCAGCTGAATAGGGGAATAGTGTTTGGAAAGCAGATTAACCTAACACGAGAACAATAGAGTGCATGGACTGATGAGGCACTGTAGAGTTAAGCACACTGAAAGAGGGGAGTGGAAGATCTGGTAATAATATCCTTCTTAAATTCCTTTTTTAAAAACATTTGTTAGCCTCATAAGGCAAAAAATCATTCTTCTAATTCACAGTGCCTCAAAGACAGTCTCTTCTACTTCAACCCTGCCCCTGCTCTCCAAGTCTAGTCTTTACTCAGTATCCTCTTTCTGAAGACACATATGCTTAACTCACACAAAAGGTTTGTCAAATAATTTCCAATAAACTGCTTTCTCACTAGGAAGTGGGGTAGGGATAAAATTGTTTTTTCAAAGGAAAGAGGGAGTTAGGAAAATAAAAAAAGATTTTGAATTGAGACTGATTTTTATCATTGGGTCAGCTTTGATAGAGCTTTATGCACACTGTAGTGCCAGATATTGCCTTAGTTTAGTTTTTAACCACAATGCAGGTACTGTATGGGTACTTGATACCCCTCCTTTCCTCTAAACTGTATTAGAGAGGTTTTGTTATTTGAAATTCTGAGATCACTAGAATTTTTCAGAAGGGAAGTTCAAGTCAGGTTGACAAGTTGCAAGTGACCTGCTCTGGGCTTTGCCTTGTAACAGAAGTCTTCTTTAAAATAAATTTTGCCCAAATGTCAACTGAATGTTTGGCTTAGCTCACAAAATGGACTAAAGCTTCATTTACTTGTAATCTTCACTGAGCTAGAAGAAGAGGAAATAGATACTTTTATTGAAGCTGTATATCTGCGTTTCACCTAAATGAAAATAAATCTGAATATGTTTTATTTTTTCATAGTTTTCTGCCTCAAGGAGCTATTTATAGACCTGAACATAAAAATTGAATTTAGCCAAGTTTTCTCATCACTCAGGAACTAAAATACCAGAAAAAGATCATACTTCTTTCCATACTGACTTCAAATCACATCCTGACTCATAAGAAAATTAATGTAAAGCAAAATTTCATACACCACATATAAGTGCTAGAATCTTCACCTACTCCTTCCTATATATCGCTTTAGTCAAAGCAGTTATGTCTTAATTAAAATTAAGAAAAATTCCAAAGTTAGCAGCCACTGTAGTATCTATTGTAAGCTGGGGATGGAAAGTGAGGGAGCATCAACAAACTTCAGAAGAATTGTGTGTGTCTATTAGCCTGTGCCGACTAGGTAAAAAGCCCTAAGTCCACAAAGTGCCCATTTGGTGCTTACTAATGTAAAGAAGCAAATACTATAATGTGAGATTAATGCTGGTACTCTCAAGTCACCAGCACATTGTGCTGGAATTTAATATAAAAAAAGCTTTTTAATATGCTCATACAGTAGAGTGATAATATGTGATTTATTTTCCCATGGATGTTCATCTACTGACATTATCTGCAAAGTGATACAGCTGTTTACTCCAAAATGCAGATTTTTCAGATTTAATTCTTCTCTCTCAGAGGATCATGGGAATAGTTTCACTGACCTCAGAGTGACACAGACCCTTTTCAAAACTGCATCAACAGCGCTGTGGCATTAAATGCCAATATATGATCTGGTATTTGCCAAGCCTGTTTATTTTTTAGGCTTTTTGGAGACATTTTCATTTAATTGCCCAAGGTATCAAAAAGAAAATGCAAACTGCAGCATTGGAAGTTTTTCATTGCATTAAGTCGGACATAAACCAGGCATCAACCATAACACTAAATATATTTAAAACTGAGTGAAAGCACTTCAAAGATTCTTGAAAAATACTCATCTCTCAAGCTCAATAACGTTACAACAGAGATGAATTTGGTTCATTGCCTTCCTATCTACCAACAAAGTACTACACATCTCCACAGAGGAAGCAATAAATAAATAATGCCATCACTATTATAAGTAAGCAAGGTACACGGAAATGAAAAAAGAGCTGTAACTGTGGTATTTTAACCCCAAGAAACTCCTTAATGAGCTACATGAAAAGAGATAACAGCGTTTGCACTAACACACTTATTCTTTAAAAGACTCCATCAATTGAAAAATATTTCCTTATTCCTAAAAAAGGCAACACTGATAAAATCATTTGCTTCCTTCACATTGCAGGTGCCTTAAAAATGCAAATCCTGTATTTGTTTTTGCAGATATCCTAGTGTGTAATCATTCCCTTCTCCCTTTTTACAAACACAGCTAATAAGCATTTCCTTCCAGCTTAACCTTAACCATTACTTTTGCTATTGGGTCCAAATGAATGTAAACTGAACTGGCATAAGAACTGTACTCACCTATTCATGAACTTGTATCGGCGGTGCAGGTAATAGATTTTTCTCCTGGAAGAACAGCAAAAATGAAGCCAGTCGAGAAGAAAACCCATCGTCAGTTACAGTATGAACTAGCAAGGAAGGAAAGGAGATTGAAGACAGAAGCCTGTAAGAGGTGGAGGAAGAGACTAAAAGAGAGATTAACAGAACTGTCACAGGAAGCCACACAGACTCTAGTGGCATTTGAATTGCAAGAAGGTCATCATTTTCCCATTGTCTTCTTTTCTGCTATTTGTCATGTGTGAAAGACAGGGACCCAAAGACGTTTCTATTTCAAATAAGTCCATAAACTGTTGCAGGAATCCTATAGGACTGATACAAATATGGATAAATTATCTGACATCCACCAGTGAATTATTAGAGCTGCATTTGGTGAAACACAAGGGGGAATCACTTAGAAAAGCCAGGAAAGTGGTGCCTGATGCTGCAATGTGCCATAACACATGCAGTGCCAATGGGGACCAGCGCTTGCTGTTGGGGTAGCATCCCCTGAAACAGAATATAGGCTACACAAGCAAATGAGCATGTGCTCAGCACCCACTCCCTTTGCCCCTCATACAGGCACAGCTGATTCCTGTTGTCACTGCAATAAGCTGTGTGGGAGTGTGCGTGGGGAACAAGTGAGCAGACAAGGGTGCAGGGGCAGACACATGCTGACCAAGGTCTCAGCCTGCCTCTGGCCAGTCCTGCAGGGCAGAGCGGCCCCCTAAACATCCCGTGGAGATCCAGAACTGGGTGTCCCACTCTGCTGATGGCAGCTCTTGCTCTCCTCATGAATGCCTATAACACCACAGCTGTCAGGATTTGACCCATCACCTTCAGCAGAGAGATCACATCTTCATGAGAGTTAAGAAAATCTGAGGGCTTTTTCATGTGCGTTTGGGACAGATACTCCTTACTGGAAGATTTGGGTGCCTGCCTGAAGTCCAGTTACCTCCTCCATAGGCTGACTTTTTCATCTGCTGAAGGTCATCGCTAAATCAATGGGGTTTCTGTGTATTCTGAGAGGTTCCACTGTGTAACACTGAACGGTACCACTTCTGGAAAATGAAGGGCTCACATCACACATATTCTGAATATTCATGTATATTAAGTGTACTGTAGTAATGCTGTTAGTGCCTTGGAAGGAAGCATGCCTGGGAGCTTTCTAAAATAAGACAGCATTGATGCTTTATAATCTAAAGAAAAAAACCTGGTTAGTATTCCAGGTTAATTTTCAGGACTTAGAATTTAAATAATGCATAATATATTGACATTATTTTTGTTATCAGTGCCCATATTGTGCTGGTGAAGTGAAAATTTCAGAACAATTTCACGTTGGCCAGCCTCCTTCAGCCACCTCCACAAGATAGTGTTATTTATCTTGCTCTACTCAGCAGGAGAAGGGTCAAAGCTAAGTGTTTCTGAAGATGCCATCCAATGCTTGATTTTGCTTCAAATATTCAGAGGTATCCACTTTTTTGGCACCTCTGCTTTGAACCAGCAAGGATTTTATTCACTGATGCGTGGACCATGGACTATTTTAACCTTAAGTATTCTGAGCTGTAAGCAATCTGCAGCCCTTAAAACAAGGAGTTAGACAAGTGCACCTGGAATCAGGCAGTCTAGACTAGTGGACATTTTGTAAAATACTGGTCCTTGTTTTCAAACAGTAAACAGTACTGTTGCTCTTAAAATAAAATTTAAGAGCCTGCCCAGCAGACATTAGTAAATCACCATAGTTTCCTCTTAACAATACAGTAATAATTCTCTCTCTGTGGATGTGGGGAGAATGAAGCTGTGGTCCTGACACAGGTCAAGAAACCTTTAGTATTTTCGATGCTTTCTATGTAACCTGTATGGCAACTACTTTGTTACTTGCTGAGAGATAGATTTCAAAAAAAGGACTTCAGATCAGGAAAGAACAAGCTGCTCACAGTGACTAAAATCTGAGTTCCTGCTGTATTTCTTAATCATGAGACCTTATCCTCCTACTAGGGCAGGTTCATCTCAAGAAATGTCACAGAATTCAAAGGAGGTACACTTTTGGCTCAGCCCACTGTTTCTATGGCTAGAACATGTTTTAAAAAGAATATTAATATCTTGAAATGACTTGTGATAGCTTTTATATTTTTCTCTGTATCATTAAAAGCACAGGAGAGAACAGTTGAAGATTTGCTGTTAAAATGAAAACCAAAATACATATGGAATACACCTGCAATTTTTGTCCTTCATTCACATCCATTTTTCCTAGCAAGTTCTGTATTGCTACAGCTTGTCTTATACCAGAGACATTTTTCTTTCTTAAGTAAGAAGAAAACAGAAGAAACCCTACAAAGAACACCAACACACTAGTTGCATATTTTGAGTCTGATCCTTTCCTTGCTCAGGAGTAATTCCATTAAAATCAATGGAGTTATAAATCTATAAACCCTGCTATTTGAAAGAATAATCAAGACCTCTCAGTCCATGGGTTTTGGTCAGTTCCAGTGGAAGTCTTTATGCTATTTTAACAGTTCTGATAACCAGCAGAGTAAAATCAATATGCCTGATAGGAAATTTCATAGCTCAACATGCAAATAGTATTAAATAAATTATAAAAATAATCTGAATGACAATGTGGAATGAATTTGGTTATTCATTGGCATTTGCATTTAATATAAGTTCTTTATTTTCTCCACAGAAAAAAGCATTTGTAGCTCGAATTGTTCTCCTAATAGATGGGATACTTATTTATAATCTGTATTTCCATTATTACACACTATACAAGCAATTTACAGGTGTTGAACATACCAGATACGTCCAACAGACATGCACCTTCTGTGCTGCCTTACGTACCTGGATCTTCTTGACCTCCCATTGATTTCAATGAAATGTCCATTTAAAAAACAGCAGCGCACAAGTATGCAGGGGGCTCCAGCATTGAAGGGGTTAAAGGGCCTAAGGATAGAATACCCCATGAAAACAGCTGCACTGCTACATCTCACCTTAATTTCAGTATTGTACTGCAATTGCAGGCATTAACAAGAAACAGCAATGAATATAGTATCTAAGGTACTCCATTTATATTTTCTAAAGATGTGCCGTATGTTATAGAAGAGCTTTTCCATGTGCATTTTGGTGTTACTATTACATTAGCTTTACAGTATAGTGTGACTTTGGAGGTTGAGACAAAATACAGCTACACCTACCTGAAAGGCATTCTTACATTCATTAGTTCAGCATATTTGCCCAGGACCTCCCAAGGGGCATGCAACTTCACAAAGATGATGTCACTGTTTGTTAGAGATGACTGCAAAAGAAAAACAAAACAGCCACCACGGCTTACTTTTTCAAGTAAAAAAGAAAAAAAAACCATGTTCAGAAGTCAATACCTGTTTTTCTGGTCTTGTGTCACCCCTCCCAGTTTCTGATTCTTCCTCAAGCATATGTAGTTTTATCAGTATTTTGTCAACTCCTTTTCTTTCTGGTTTTCTGAAAGCCATGCTATGACTCCCTTTTGGTGTGCATGTGCATTTCCTTCACATGGAAAAGAGGACGTGGAGGGGAGGCTGACATGCAGTTGTGGGTTACCCAAGTGTGGGGTAGAAATAAGGTTGGTGGGTGAATCTGTGTCTGGAAGCTTGGTCCTGAACTTCAGCTAGAAACAAAATTGTAAGTCAGGATCTGATTCTGCCAACTGACCTAGTTTTCTGCACTCACACGGAAGTGCAGATGTGTGGAGGCACATCTAGCAACCAAGAAAAGTTTGTACGACAGTGTGGTCTTGTCACTGTTGCCCCACATGCACGAATAATGAAGTCCCAGCTACAGAGACATGGTCTCCAGCTTCCATCTTGGCCAGACGAATTTTGAATGTTAGAACCAAAGCCAGCAGGGAAAAAGGAAATCTGATGCTGCCTACACCATAATATTGTACAGATTTGTTGCCAAGAAAGGTTGAGGGCCATGACTATGTCAGTAAGATCTCTTCGCAGTGCTACCATCTTCTTTTCTATGTGATGGATGTAGCATGAAGAGAGCTTTGTGTAGGGTATGCACACCAGAAAGGCTGTGACCTAACAGAAGGCTGTCTGGAGAACAGGGAATATGCAGTAAAGAGGAGGGGAGAAATTTAGCTCTGCACTCAGGAGGAGAAATAATGCTTTACAAGAAAACTACAGCAGGGTTAGCTGAAAATGATGTGAGAACACAGACAGCCGCATGTTAATACTGGAAGATGAATTGTTCAAATTCTAATGAAAATCAATGAAATTCTCATAAAATTGCATACAATACAGCTTTAGACAACTGAATGGATCACATTAACAGGGACAATTACTACATGCTGAGTTCAAGGACTACTCAGGAAAAGGGTAAAGGTGTACAGGGTATGAGAAAAGGAAGGAAAGTGTGAAGACTGAGAAAACCAGGCAAGGAAATTATTAGTTGGCTTTAGGGATGATTTCCTATTTTTTTAGACATTGTACTATATTCAGTGTTTCTCACATTAATTATTGGTTAACACAATTTCCTAGGAATTCTTAAATATAGTATTGTTAATGGGATAGTATTGTTTATCTTGAAGCTACAGTGACTATATGGATGGGAGGCTGACATTTATACTTTTGATGCCTATTTGATTCTTTCCTCCTCCATCCTGATAGATGCTGAAATTATTAAAACTGCTATACCATGTTAATGTCCTTAGAATAGCTAAAACATTATTGCTAGTTTGTGACATGGTAGAAATGAAAGCTCCAACAGTTAAGATACATATATAGGATCGTCTTTGGCACATTAAAAAAAAAAAAAAAGGAAAAAAAAAAGGGAAAAACCCCACCCAACACAGTTACTACAGAGTTAAAAGTTTTTTAAACAAAATAGAATATCAGAATCCTTAAAAATGGACACAGAGACACATTTGTACCCCAAGTACTATTGGGCTGCATAAAAAAATGGATTTAGTGCATAATGTAACAAGTGACTTTCTGGTATTAAAAACTACAGAAAAAAAAAATGCCATTCTTCTGCTGATAACTTTCTGTAAAATGTTTCAACATGAAATGATACAACAGCAACAAAATGCCCCCAAGAGACTTGCTTCAGAGACAATGAATTCAGTTGTACTATTTTCATTGACTTTTATGGATTCTAAATCAGGCCTCTAATGATGTTTTTCTTTATAGGTACATTTCACAAATTATCTTTTATTTTCCCATGAGACTTTAGCAAGTAGACACCATAAAACCAAGACTAAATTCTGCTACTCTAAAAAGTTCCTGCAAACTACTTAAAGATGAAGTTAAGTCAGCAGTGGACTGACAATTTTGTTATAAACAGTTCAAATTAAAAAAAAAAAAAAAAAAGCAACAAACAAACCCCATCAAAACTCAGAACTGTCTAATAAACCCAATACACAGAAGGAAACCATGTTCCTGACACACCAATAAAATTTGAGGAATGGAGGAAATTTAATAAAAACAGCCTGTAAATTTAGTGATGGCTGTTAAATTGGAAGCGTATAGGCATTTTCCAGCACATTGTAGTTTAAGCCATATTAGACATGGCAGCCAGAGTAACATGACTTGTGGAGATGCTGTTTCACAAGTGAACACTATCTTCATCTAAATTTAGTTTTTTATGTGTTACATGTTTTCACACAGAAGCATGAAAAACTTTCATATAGTTATCACAAATATAAAACCACATATTTAAAGAATATTTTTTACTCAGTATCTTGTAATGTTATTTTATCAGCCTTGTTAACAGAAGATCTAATCAAAATACCTTTGGGAGGCTTAGTTTTTTTCAGAAGAAAGAGATAATACTACTAAATGGTTGATATGGAAAACCATTTCTCTCGGGTTTTTTCACTTTAAGTGTTGATAAAAGAAAGCACTAAGAAAGACTGAGAAAAACAAGATTGGAAAGAGAAGAACAAATCCAGATGGAGGAGTAATTGAATGAAATGTCACATTCACTTAATTTAAGAAGAAAATAGTTACTCAAAATACCTGAAAAAAATATCAAGAGCACCATCCTAATTACTAAGATTTTTCAGTCAATGGAATCTGCTAAACTCTCTTTGTTAGATTAATATTTAGACACAGTATCCTTCAGCTTCTAAATGTTTCATTGAGAGGAGACGAGCATTCTTGTGTTGTAATTGACTTTCGAGGCTTGGCTCATTAAATGGTTTGGAGAAGTAAACTCAATTTCACATTATGGGAACATGCAAACAAAAATCAATGTAACATTGCTCCCCTTGGAAATTTAAATAAGATGACTATTGACATGAGCAATCTGCTAGAAAGTGATATTTAGATGATGAAGAAAGAAAAACAGAGGAAGTAAGGGGACGGACAATGAGATAAAATAGTTTGCAAACACAAAAATGAAGTGTTTGGAATTGACTGTGGCACCAGTGCCTCCAGAGTTATCATCATATAATAATCGCCAGGCAACCAACGTCCAAATAAACTGGTTGTTTCAAAAGGATTTCTTGAGGAGGAATACCCATAGCAAAACAAATTTTATTCTGGTCAGTAATAATATTTTTGCTGGTCTTCAGACAGTGCAAACCCAGTGTGACAAGAGACTTATCAGAATCAGAGAATCACAGACTAATTTAGGTTGGAAGGGACTTTTAAGGGTCATGTGGGGTAGCTCTCTAGCTAAAGAAGGGTCAGCTTAGATCAGGTTGCTCAGGGGCTTCTCCCATTGAGTCCTGAGTATTTCCATAAGCAGAGATTTCACAGCCTCTGGGCAACCCACTTAATGAAGTTGAAAAGGATGTTTCCTATAGAAGAACTGTATTCTTCTCCAGAGAAATGCTAGTTGAAAACTACAAGTTTCTAGACATGAAAATTCATGAAAATTCAAAATGTTCAGTGCAAATACAGCATTCTTTATAAAACAATTTTTTTCTTACAAGAACTTTTTAAAAATTATTATTCTAATTGAGAAGCACTATCAAGGTGTATTTAGTTTAATTAAACCCTGATCCTCAAATTAGGTTTGTATGGTAGAATTCAGATCATCAGAGGCTGGGTTACAGACAGTCAATATACAATGAATATCCATGTTCAGTGCCATTAATCTACTATTTTTCATAAGCTGTAATTTTTCCCTCCTTTCCACTTCCTAACACCCTTTTACAGGTAGAAATCCTACTCCATAATAGACCAGTATTTGATAATCACAAGTTTCTATAGTTCATATGTCTGTATCAGAAATATACATCTCATGTATCAGATTTCATGCACAGATACAGGCTGGGCAAAGAGTGGATTGAAAGCAGCCCTGCAGAGAAGAACTTGGGGGTATTAGAGGATGGAAAACTGTCTATGAGCCAGCAACGTGTGCTTACAGCCCAGAAAGCCAACCGTGTCCTGGGATGCATCAACAGAAGCATGACCAGCAGGTCAAAGGATGTTATCCCCCCCTACTCTGCTATTGTGAGACCCCACCTGCAGTACTGTGTTCAGCTCCGGGGCCCCCAACATAAGAAGGACATGGGCCTGCTCAAATGGGTCCAGAGAAGGCAATGAAGATAATCAGGGGGCTGGTGCACCTCCCCTATAAGGACAAGCTGAGAGAGTTGGGGAGTGTTCAACTTAGAAAAGGTTCTGGAGAGAGCTTATAGCGGCCTTCCAGTACTTAAAAGGGGCTACAGGAAAGATGGGGAGGGACTCTATCAGGAAGTGCAGTGATAGGATGAAGGGTAACAGTTTTAAACTGAAAGAGGGTATATTTAGATTAGATATAAGGAAGAAATTCTTTCCTGCGAGGGTGGTGAGACACTGGAGCAGGTTACCCAAAGAAGCTGTTGATGTCCCCTCCCTGGAAGTTTTCAAGGCCAGGCTGGACGGGGCTTGAAGCAACCTGATCTAGTGGAAGGTGTCCCTGCCCATGGCAGGGGGGTTGAACTAGATGATCTTTAAGGTCCCTTCCAGCCCAAACCATTCTGTGATTCTGTGATTAATTCCCAGATTCACTGACAAATCACTTTAGTGCCATACCATTGCTGCCAATCCCAGAATACAGGCAGTACCATAGGCCCACATATTGTTGACTTGCCCTTCTGGGAAGACAACCTTTCTCTTTTACTATTAAGTTTTTACTGACATTGTATTTCTTAAAGAACACAAATCAACCACAAACCTGTTTAAAAACAAGGCTCCATATTCTTCTCCAGTATCACTACATAAGGAGTGGAAGAGACTAAAGAAGGGAACATTGAAGTAATTCTGAAAGCGTAAAGACCTGCTTTGGTGTGTTACAATCATCAGCTAGACCAAGGAAAACTTG